TTCCTTTATAAACATTAAGGTATATTTCTTTGCTTCACTCTAGGGTTCTGGGTACACTGCAATGATTCCAAGCTAAGCATGTGCACTATGGATGAAGTACGCAAGGCCCAAGCTTATATCTTGTTTTATACCCAGCGAGTTACTGAAACTGGACATTCTAAACTCTTGCCTCCAGAATTCCTGACTGGTAGCCTACCTCCTAATGAAGAAGCTGATACCGCTAATGAAAAGCTTAGTTGATCCAAAGATAGTGAGGTTTTCTTGCAATTTGTATACCTATCTTCTCAAAGGGCTGATTTACAATTTTGAGCTTTGTTTTTATTTTTTACTTACTAATCAGTGCACACTATGTTTATAATTTTTTAATTATACAAGTCTTTTTACAGAACAAAGCATAAATATATGTATATCAATGAAAGCAAGTAACCTTTTTTTCATGTACGTGGAAGTTTTAAGCTTTTAGTATTTACCTCAGACTGGTGTTGCCTCTTAATTTTAACTAGAGGTTTGGTGCACGACATTCATGCACTGGGTGGAGGGGGGGCGGGAGATCCCCTCAGCCCGGCCTGCAACCTCTAGCAGTCCAGGACCCCTCGGGGGATGTCCAAACGCCAGCTTAGAACATCCTGAGGGATCCTTAGCACTGCCAAGGTGGTGGCTGCACTCGCCAGCCATGAGCCCAGCTTCTGACTGAGCAGCACTCCCCTGTATGAGCACACTAACCATCAGGGGGCAGCTCCTGCATTATGTGTCTGCCCCCTGGTGGTCAATGCATGTCACAGTGACTGTTCTTTCTGCCATTCGGTCCATTTGCATATTAGGGTTTTATTATATAGGATTGGCACAGATCATGAGTTTGTACTGAGGTTCAAGTGGCATTATTTTATACATTTATCTTTTTTAATATATCTTTTTATTGATTTCAAAGAGGGAGAGGGAGACATAGGAACATCAATGATGAAAGAAAATTATTGATCCATCTGTCTCCTGCACATCCCCCAATGGGGATTGAAACCGTAACCTGGGCATGTGCCCTTGACTGGGATTGAATTCTGGACCCTTCAGTCTGCAGGCCAGTGCTCTATCCACTGAGCCAAACCAGCTAGGGCAATAAATACATTTATCTTTTGTAGCTATTTTCTAATAGAAAATTTCTAATAGAAAATAGCTACAAAAGATAAATGTATTATTTGATGGAAAAATTATAGACACTTTCTTCACTAATAGTCTTACCCAAAAATCAATTCAGGCTATTTGTATATTGAAATTACCTTTGCTCCTTGAAGGTACATAACTTACTATTTTCAAAGAGAAAAAAATACTTATTAATCACACTCATTGATATCTTGAAGCTTTGTGTGTTACAAGGCTCAGAAGACATTACTGTTGTTAAAGGAACTTCATTTAAAAATATATTTTTAATAATTGTTCATTTGGCATAGTCAACCATACAAATGAAAATGGCTGCTTTATAAATAGTATGCTTAAATAACTTCAGTACTGTAGATATAACAATGATCGTTGGGACTTACAATGATTCATCTGGCAGCAAACTGGTTTGTAATGATTCTAAAAAAGAATATATGAATTTACCAAATAGTTTATTATATTATGCAAGTACAATTTAATTTGGTTTATGAATTCATTTTGTCTAAATATTAAATCTTTTAAAACTTTGTACTACATATATTGAGATTCTTCATGGAATAAAATGTCTTGAAAAGGAGAATCCACTAATGTATGTTGATCAGCTCTATAAGAGCTCAGTGTTAATCACTAGATTTTTTTTTAGAAAAAAAAAAACTGGTCTGCTTGCAGGTTGAATTCTTAATGGTAAAATATGTTAAGTGCTGTTCTCCACTAGTGATCATTGTAATATAAGCTTGTGAAGGACAACCTCTATTAGCAAATCTTCCTTAAATTTCAGAGAACAAGTCATCTCAGGTAGCTTTGTGAAGTGCAATGAAACTTTATCACTGGATAGACAAATCATGCCAAAAAACAACTTGAGTGTTAAATGGCTAAGGCTTAAAATCATTTATTAAATACCTATGCAAATCATTACCTCAACTGTTAATGTAATTATACCTCATTAAAGACTTACGTGGTGAAGTTACTGAGTATAGTTTTTATTTCAAGGATTACTTTATCTTTAGATCAACTGCTATACCTCTTAACACCTAATTTTAGTGGGATATATATATATATATTTTTTTTAAATATATTTTATTGATTTTGTACAGAGAGGAAGGGAGTTAGAAACATCGATGAAAGAGAGTCATTAATCAGCTGCCTCTTGCACACCCCCTACTGGGGATATGCCCGCAATCAAGGTACATGCCCTTGACCGCAATCGAACCCAGGACCTTTCAGTCCCCAAGCTGACGCTCTATCCATTGAGCCAAACTGGTCTCGGCTTAGTGGGATATTTTAAAACAACTCTAGAAGCTATCTTACCTAATTAAAAAAAAAAAAATCATCCAAATTAACCATCACTCTGCTACACCCACAGCTAATCTGAATATGCAAATTAACCCAAAGATGGAGGTTAATCCGCATATACAGATGGGGAGCAGAGTGAAGCCTCCTATGAGGGGAAAGGGGGCCGAGGGAGTTATTGGAGTGGTGCTCCAGATAAAAGTGAGGACTTGCTGGCTACAGGTGGCTGGAAGTAAAGCCAGGGGAAGGAAAACCTATTCTTGCATGAGTATCGTGCAATGGGCTTCTAGTGCTGTTTATGGTACTAAAGGCTGGGTGCACAAATTTGTGCATGGGTAGGGTCCAGCTGGGGGCAGGGGGCACCCTCTGGTTGAACTCTGGATAGAGGAGACAATTTGCATATTAGCCTATTATATAGGATAGTTGCTTGTTTTTGGTACTTATTTCAATGTAATATATAAGAAAATGGCTTATAGCCCTTTCTAATCCTTTAAAACTAAAACCCATGTGTGAGGTCGAGGAAGCATGTGGTAACTTGCTCAATTTTGCTAACCTAAATCAGATCTTAAAAAAAGTATTAAAATGAAACTAAAACCTAGACAATGTACAGAAATTTTAAGATTTCTTACTGTACATCTCAACATGGGCTTTTACATTATGCTAAATTGATCTAACAAAAAACAACGTTTTGATTGTAAAATAATTTACTAAAGGCACTATTGTTAAACATTCAAACTAATAATTGGTTACCAATAAGGTACATCATTATAAACATGACAGAATGATTTCAAGAGATACATGTCTAGTAGGTAAACAGTACAGTTTTTCCTTAAGTGAAAGCTTTTTTATATACAAGATCATATCCCTTCCAGCCATTCCAGCGGCATGTAAGTGGTGCTACTGCTTCCAACAGTTACCTGGGAAGGGAGCTTGGATCTCATAAATGGGTTAAAATCACTACAACTAAAAAGGAATCACAAAGCTCCAAATTTTTTTACTCAAAAGGTCAATTCTAAAATTCAGGGGTTTGGAAATCAGGATATTTTATACCTCCCTCCAAAGTACATCAAAACAGTATGGACTCAAAAACTCCAGATGAGCTAGCTGGCGGGCCCAAGCCCTGTAACATATCCAAGCACAAACTGATGAGCTCTGCCACTAGCACATCACAGAAAATGGAGAACTGATTCAAAGATAGCTCATGAACATTAGCACCATAGTAAACATGGCTCATATAGCTAACCTAGATTGTTTATTCCACAACATTCATTTATAATTCAAATGCTGAAAGCGGTTTTTTAATGTATTATAAATGATCTAAGTACAGAAGTCAGGTTTCTCTTCCTATGAGAAAAACATTAAAATACAAAACAGCATCCCAGAGGCAATAAATGTTACTGTGCTAAACATACAAATTAAGGCTTTACCTTAGTACATAACTATTTTGAAAGTTTTTTGAAACATTCCCAAAAATAATTTACATAAAATTCAAGCAGTTTGTTCAAGAATTGGTAGTGGGGTTCAGTTCAAGTATTATGCATCTTACATTCACTTATGCACTTAGCTGCTTTAATGAGTCACTATAACCTCACTTGCTGAAATATCACCCATAATGTTATAAATCCAAACCAGTCGAGGTACAGGGTGCTAAAGAATCTGGTTCACTAATGAAAAAGCCTAATAATTCAATTTAACTTTTCTAACTAGAATAAGACCCAATCATGGAAAATTTTCCTGTTTTTGTGGTTCTAAATGCATTTTTGGTTTACCAAGCAAGCTAAATACCTTTCGTAATATATATAGCACTGGACAAAGGATATAAATGTTATTTTACTAAATCAAGGTTTCAAGTTGTACAACATTCCTAAGTCATGTTACAAATAGATATTTCCAATGCCAGAGAAAAAAAATGAAAGGACTAATATGGCCCTTAGAAAAAGGCAAAATATTCCTAAAGCTGTATATTAATTTATGAAGCTTCTCCTACTTTATACATGTATAGATCTTGTTTAGCCACTATATCAGAAAAAAAGTTTCAGAGTACAGATCTAAATCCAGATAAAAGCTCTACATTTCCCTACATTAAGTTTAGCTATTTTCTGTGCAAAATTATAACCACAGACATTGAAATGTAGCTCTTAGGTCTGAAAATGTCTTTATTTTTTAGAAAATGGATTCCAGGAAGGTTAAAAAGCAATACTAGAAGTTATAGGTGCAGAATTGGATGTATTCATTCAAAGCATTCAAATAAGAATATGGCAATATAAATATTTTGAAAAGCATCTTTTAGGTGTTCAAAACAAAATGCTTACGTAAGTCATTCCTAACTATTTTGAACTTTATAGCATTTTCTAGTCAGGAGAAAAAAGTTAACTTTTGAAAGTCCTGAAAGCTTTTTCCGTGGTTAATTACATTAGACTGTTTGCCTTTGATCAAATTCCTTTTTAAACACGAATAAAAGTATATAGGTCCACAGACAACATGTCGCAAATCAATTCTGGTATAATGTATTCCAACAAAGCTTATAAAATAAAAGACATTAAGGTGGCTTTGGACTAAGTTTAATAGTCATCTCCTCTGCTGACAACTTCTTTACATGTTGGACGCAACAGTATGGTATGTTCAAACTGTGCTGTATATGATCCTTTAATGTCACATAATGGTGGATACGGATCTACAATGCCCAAGTCACACAGATTCTTCAAAGCCATCAAATATTTACTTTCTCCCAAGCGATCCAGCCATCTCCGGCAGAAGGCAAGGGTACCAAAGTTTTCATTGATGACATTTAACAAGTGTTTTGTTCTTGGAAGCCTAAAAAGAAGAAAACCCAAGATTTATAGTTAGCTAAAAAGTTACCAAAACTCACTTCCTCATTAAGAAAAACTCAAATGGTAGCTGTAAGTTTACTTAAAAGTTTAAAAACTTTTGTTTTCACATTCAAAAGCAAGGATATAAAATAGCCCATATTTAATTATAGATGGCAGCTGAATAGGAAGCCAGATGAAAGCTCTTATCATGTCTGTGTCTATGCATGTGTGAAATTCCCAATACAGACTCACCAACAGTATTTTGGTGAGAATTTCTTTTTTTTTATGCATCAAGCTGAAAGACCTGCACATTATGTAGGTGTAAATTTTTCATCCAACTATCCAAAAAGATTGTTTTAAAAAATATATTTTTATTGACCTCAAAGAGAAAGGTATAAGGAGACATAGAAACATTAATGGCCCTAACTGGTTTGGCTCAGTGGATAAGAGTATTGACCTGTGGACTGAAAGTTCGATTCCGGTCAAGGGCATGTACCTTGGTTGCAGGCACATCCCCAGTAGTGGGCATGCAAGAGGCAGCTAATCGGTTTCTAACTCTCCCTCTCCTTCTCTGTAAAAAAATCAATAAAATATATTAAGAAAAAAGAAACATCAATGATAAGAGGGAATCACTGATAGGTTGCCTGCTGCACGCCCCCTACTGGGGATTGAGCCCGCAACCCGGGCATATACCCTTGACCGGAATCGAACCTGGGACCCTTTAGTCCATAGGCCGATGCTCTATCCACTGCCAAACCAGTTAGGGCCAAAAATATTTTTTTTAAGTAAATAAAAAGATAAAGTTTACCAAATATAAGGAAAAAAATCCAGAAATACTACAAAATTATCATCTCTAAAATTATTACAATTATTAGAAATTGGACCTGAAAAAAACAGTTACCTACATCATTTTCATCTCAGTTACCGATAAAATTTTTAACAGGCCAATCTCTTTGCTGCATTATGGGAATCCACAAAATTTAATATTAGGATATAAAATTTTATATCACTGGATATTTTTCACATTTTTAAAATAGCTGATAACTGGGAAGGGAAACTCACTAGTCATACAGAAATAAGACTCTCACCTTATTGGCACATGTCCAACATCAAAATTTTTCATGTAATGTGAACATTCCATATCATCATGAACAATGCCTTTTCCTGTGCTACCGAAGGTTTCAATGGCATATACTTCTCCTTCCTAAAAAATACATTAGAATAGGGAGACAAGAAAAATTAAGAACGAATTAAAATTACCTTATTTTAATGTCAGGCTGAGGTATTTCCTACTTCATGGAAGAAACAACATGAATACCCTTGGCAGTCCTTATCCACCTTCCTGGCTTTTTACCTCCTTAGCGTTTTTTGGTCTTTCAATGTCCTCCTTTTAGAATGCAAGCTTTACATGGGCAAGGAATTTTGTTTTGTTAAGTATATCCTTAGTGCCTATTGAAGAGACTGGCAGGCACATCCATGATGCTCAGTAAATATTCACTATGTGTTGAATAAACAACCCTTTGACATACCCAATATTACATAACTGATTTGAGCCCTGATCTGACAGGACAAAATTTGCACGCTAAAGCCATGGCCGGTGTGGCTTCGTTGGTTGTGCATCGTCCCGTGTACCAAAAGGTTGCCAGTTTGATTCCTGGTCAGGGCACATAATCAAGTTGCAGATTCAATCCCCGGTAAGGGTGTATGCAGGAGGCAATCTCTCTAAAATCAATAAAAGCATATTTAAGAAAAAATTTGCACACTAATATGGCCCAATCCTTATCAAGGTAAATATAAATGGCAAGTTAATTTTGCTCAACATACTATGTACTTAACTATCACTAACTTTGGTTTGGGAAAAAGAAAATCAAAATGCTTCACAAAGAACATACATACCTCCATTCTTGTTGCCTCTCCTCCTTTCACAATGGGCACTGTTTTCCCAGCATGTATTCTGTATGGTCCAATTGAATGCCCATTTAGATTACGAATTGGTTTCACTGGCATAATAAGAAAAAAAATAGTTTAACCTCAGCTTAAGGTAGTTAAAATACAAAGTGGAAAACTAGTGTAATATAAAAATATGTTTATTGCAATGTTAATTAAAAACTAGAAGTGAGAAAAGAGAAATGGTGGGAAAAGAATAAACTATGTGATGAAGACACAAGGGGGTCCATCTAAGGAGGTATTGTTAATCAATAAAAACAGACGTAAAATGCCATGTACATAATAATAAAAACATGAAAATTATATATTGTTATGGTCTAAAAGGCAATGTAAAAATTAGTATTTTGTGTTAAAATGATAGGATTTATGAAACCTTAAATTTTATTACTCCATCAACATTTGCAATGTTAAAATAGAAAATCTCAAACCCAAGGTCCTGATAATGATAGAGTAAACAAACTGTGGTGTAGTCACACAATAGGATGCTACTCAGAAATAAAAACACTAGGGATACACCGAACTAAAACCTAAAGAAAAAAAAATGAGCAAAGGAAGGCACAATTATACACATATTGTGCAATGGAATGCGTATATATATATATGTATATTTAATATTTTCAAAATTATGCATAATTAGGTAACTGTTTAGGGATATGTAACTAGATTGTAAAAGATATAAAGAAAAGCAAATGCAAATACTTTAGTACTTAAGATAGTGGTTTACTAGAGGAAGACCACTGAAATAGAGAAGGCCTATACAGATAGATCTAGAGGCCTGGTGCATGACATTCATGAATTGGGTGGTTGGGAGGAGCGGAGGTGTGTCCCTCAACCCGCCTGTACCCTCTCACAGTCCAAGACCTCTTGGGGATTTCTGCCTGCCAGCTTAGGGCCGATCCCCTTGAACACCCTTCTTGCAACCTGGGATTCTTTGCTCCTTACTGCCTGCCTCTTTACCACAGGCACTCCTTTGCGCCGCTGCCACCACCCCTGGGCTCTTTTCTGGCTGAGTGGTGCTCCCCATGTGGAAGCACACTGACCACCAGGGGGCAGCTCCTGTGTTGAGCGTCTGCCCCCTGGTGGTGTGTGTCATAGTGACTGGTAGTTCTGCTGTTCAGTTGATTTGCATATTGGCCTCTTATTATATAGGATATTGTACAAATAGTGTTTATTACAGTTTACAATAAAAAAGATTTTAAAAAATTTAGCGGTACTGTGCCAGAATCATTCAGATGAGCTATGTTTCTTCTAGGGCAGAATTAAGTAGCAAGGTTTTTTCCAAAACTGTATCAGTTAAACAATAACAAGTATATTACAAATTTAGGGGATGGTACAGAAAAATAAAATTCTCAGCTCTTGCCGAAACCGGTTTGGCTCAGTGGATAGAGCGTTGGTCTGGGGACTGAAGGGTCCTGGGTTCGATTCAAGTCAAGGGCATGTACCTTGGTTGCGGGTACATCCCCAGTAGGGAGTGTGCAAGAGGCAACTGATTAATGATTCTCTCTCATTAATGTTTCTGACTCTCTCTCCCTCTTCCTCTCTGTGAAAAATCAATAAAATATATATTTAAAAAAAAATTCTCAGCTCTTCAAAAATATTGCCTTTTATATAAATAAGCTAAATGTACTTAAAAGTCAGCAAGTATTACTATGTCTCTAAGTCTGGCAAACTGACCCATTAAAAAATACATTTAAATAAAAGAAGATTTTCTAGACCCTGCACTTCCACCATGGCTTTACACTCTGCCAAGTCGTTCTATGACCTCACTACTATCAGCCTGGCTGGGGAGCAGAGATTTCAATACATTCTGAGGCAGGGCAGGGCTGACTGAAAATTTAGCATCGCTCTGAACCAGCTCAATGAGCTGCAATGCCCCTTTCCCAGGTACTTGGTGGTTCTTGGCTTCCCTTGCAACCAATTTGGACATCAGGAGAACTGTCCCAGACACTTGGTGGTTCTTGGCTTCCCTTGCAACCAATTTGGACATCAGGAGAAACTGTCAGAATGAGATTCTAAATAATTTCAAGTATGTTCACTCTTGGGGGTGGATTCCAGTCAATCTTTACCCTTGCCCAAAAGTGTGAGATGAATGGCCAGAACAAGCATCCTGTCTTCACCTACAAGAAGAACAAGTTTCCCTACCCTTATGATGACCCATTTTCTCATAACCAATCCCAAATTCATCATTTGGCGACTAGTATGCCACTCAGATATGTCCTGGAACCTTAAGAAGTTCCTTACCAGGCCAAAGGGGGAACCCCTTCTGACACTACAGCTGTACTCTCCCCCTCCTCCAACATTGAGCCTGATATCAAGGGTCTCCTCAAAGTTGCCATATAGACATCAGTTACTCATCACACGGATCTACTCCATCTAGCCCTTGAGTATCTCTCCTTAGGATTCAGAGTGTCCTTGGGAGACACTGCTGGACCTAATCTTTCCCTTGAGATAAGTCTCCGTCATTGAAGAGCCTTGTTTTCCTGTCAGCCTATTGCCTCCACTCCTCCCGCGTCCCCCCCCCCCCCCCCCGCCCGCTCAATTTTCTGGTTGGTGATTCAAGTTGGCCTCCAAGACTTGGGTGGGCTCTGGGCCTTCACAAAACGATGGCACTACCCTAAAAATATATGGGTGCTGTCTGAGAAGTGTGAATAGCCCACATCAGCCTGCTAGCTGAGTCCAATAAAGGGCAAGTGTGAAAATGGCAAAAAACAAAACAAACAAAAACAACCCAAAAAATTTTAAACAAAAGTCCTATCTAATAAAAGAGTAATATGCAAATTGACCATACCTCCGATATACCACCAGCCACACCCACCAGCCAATTAGAGCAAATATGCAAATCCACCCTAGCCAAGATGGCTGCAGCCAGAGAGCAGGAAGGAGGCGTGGGTTTCTCTGGCAATAAAAGAAGCCAAGCTTTCCGCCTGCCCCAGCCAGCCTAGGCCTCCTTTCAAGGCTACAAAGTTTCAATTATAGAAGGTAAACAAATCCAAAAAAAATGGCGGCAGCCACAGAGCAAGCAGAAGGCTTGAGTCCGAAGTTTCAAATATAGAAGGTAAATAAATTCCAGATACCAGGGCCTCCGCTTGGGTTGCCAGGGGAGGGTGGGAAGGTGGGGAGTGGAGGGGTGTGTGGCTGGCCTGCAAACCACCACAGGCCCCTTGCTCAGCTGCCCCATGCCCCAAGGGAACCCCCACGCTGATCTGAGACACCCTTCAGGGCAAACCAGCTGGCCCCCACCCGTGCACCAGGCCTCTATCCTATCTAATAAAAGAGTAATATGCAGATCGACCATCACTCCAACACAAAAGATGGCTGCTCCATGTGATCAAAGATCCTGCCCCATGTAGACACAAGATGGCCACCACAAGATAGCCAGAAGGGGAGTGCAGTTGGGAGGGAACAAACTTGCAAGGGAGGGCAGTTGTGGGTGATCAATCCTACAGGGGAGGGCAGTTAGGGGTGACCAGACCAGCAGAGGAGTGAAGTTAGGGGCAAAGAGATTGGCAGAGGAGCAGTTAGACATCAATCAGGCTGGCATGGGAGTGGTTAGGGGGTGATCAGTCTGGCAGGCAGAAGCATTAGGGACAATCAAGAAGGCAGGCAGGTGAGCAGTTGGGAGCCATCAGGCCTGGATTGTGAGAGGGATCACAGATTGGAGAGGGTGCAGGCTGGGCTGAAAAATAATAATAGCATTAATCCTATTACACTAATATATATATATATATATATACACATATACACACCTTGGGTTCTTAAAAGGTTTTAGGATTATCTAAGCTCAAAGATAGAACTGCCTGACCCCTAAAAGCATGTTTTTTCATTCTCCTACCACCTCCAAGTCTGAGCAGCCTTACTTATCTAGAAAGTTACTTTTAACAGCTATTGGTCCCAGAATTAGCCTGTGGCTATCAAAAACATGTATAATATGAAATGGATATCCCTGTGCCTTGCTTCTTCTGTGTAACTTGGTTATGTTAATTGATTTATTTAAATGTATTTTTTTTTTTAAATATGTATTTTATTGATTTTTTACAGAGAGGAGAGCGAGATAGAGAGCTAGAAACGTCGATGAGAGAAACATCAACCAGCTGCCTCCTGCACACCCCCTTCTGGGGATGTGCCTGCAACCAATGTATAATACATGCCCTTGACCGGAATCGAACCTGGGACCTTTCAGTCCGTAGACCGACGCTCTACCACTGAGCCAAACCGGTTTCGGCTAAATGTATATGTATTTTTGTTTTAACGAAAATTTTGTAAGAAAAATCTCTTTTTACTTAGATGTATTTTGTATTGGTCTCAGAGGAAAAACTACTTTTGCGCTTGCTAAAAACATAATACCGTAGTCTATATATTATCACAAGGTAATGCAAAAATGCTGAATTATATGAATTTACCAAAGGGTAAGGAAACATGACAGATGTCATGCAGACTATACAGAACAGACAGAACATGGTTAAAGGAAATGTAGGAGTTCTGTAAGGACGTTATTAGGGTAGCGGGAACAGAAAGCTATGAGTATAGATGCAGCAGGAGGATGGGTGCTTCAGAGTGGTCAGATAGATGCTGGGAGTCCGAGGGAGACTGGACTGAGAAAGAGCATAGGTGAGTCTGGAACTGCATACCTAAGGCAGTGGCTAGGAAAGAGTAGCAGGCAGATGGAATAAAGATGAAAGGAAGTACCCTGACCAGCTCAGTGGGTAGAGAGTTAGCCCATACTCCAAAAGGTTGAGGGTTTGATTCCGCAACCTGCTGGCGTGTGTGCAAGAGGCAACCAATCTCTCTCCTTCCCCCTCCTCCCTTCCACTCTCTCTAAAAACCAATGGAAAAAATAACCTTGGGTGAGGATTAAAAACAACAAAGATTAAAGGACACACAAGGAATAAACTGGCCTCTCAATTTTATATTTAACTTCTCTGAGTTATAAAAAAGATAATTCCAGGGATAGAATATATTATTTCAAGACAGCACTAATTCAGTACTCCTTGAGGCAGTTATAATTTGACTAGTCACAGAAAACCTAGTCTACATTTTGGCCATCCTGGGATAAACACCCAAGTGTCTTCTTATCAGCTACCAGAGGAGCCTGGCAACAATTCCCAGCTAATGACCACATACTCCTCCTACCATAAGCAGGTCATTTTCCCATATCCCTCCTATATTCTCAAGAGATAAAGATGAAGCAACTAATCCAAAGAAAGCACTCTAACACTTTTTTAAAATTAGTTTTGCAAAGGTCAAACCATTTTAACTAAGGTATATTTTTTAAAGAACATACCTTGATATGTCTTCCCATCTATTTCAACCTCATAGGATTCCATAACTTCTTGAATTGCCTCACCAACATCACATAGACGAACATCAATTCCAGCACACTAAAGACCAAATAATGTATAATGTTATTCAAAGCGCAGAATTTTACATTACCTTAATTTCAAAACTGCTTTGTACATTGAACTTCCTCTATAAAAACCTTTGGTACACTATATAATAGTCTTACATAATCCAAAGTTCTTAAGCAAGGTATAATGTGCTCATATTGAATGAAATAGTGATTACAGTTCACATACCTTTATTCCAGTGTTAGTGGCATCTTTTACAGCTTTTAATAATGTATCATATTTGGGATTAAAAGTGACAGTAAAAGCACAGTCAATAATCCTACCTGTAAGAAAAAAATTCTTGTTTAAAGACTATTTATCAGCTAGTCGATTTATCTGTTTTATAGCATCTACTCCATTGCTTATCCTTGCTAGTTAACAGGGGCAAAAAAGTAAAATTATCAAGTTATACGAAAGATTCAGAAGGAAAAGATAATTCCAGGGGTAGTACATATTACTTCAAGATAGCACTAATTCAGTACTCATTGAGGCAGTTATGTAAAAATATGAACAGAAACAAATCAAAGCTAGAAAATCCAAGGTACTAAGAAACAGCAATGTAGGCAGAGAATTTGTGTAGGTCCACAGGATGCTAACCATAATCCCAGCTTCTTCGATTTTATAAAAGCTTAGGTAAGTACTTAATTTAAGCTTTGCTTTCTCACCTGTTAAAGTGAGATAAAACTATACTTACAGAAAAGCTAACAAGTATAAAGGTTGGTAAACTTAAAGGTTCTAAGTAATCATTTGTTGTTGTATGAATGTCTGAAATAATACCTGAATAATTATATGATTATATTTTTCTTTTCTAATATCTTTTATTGATTTTTTTTTTTTTACAGAGAGGAAGGGAGAGGGAGAAAGAGTTAGAAGCATCGATGAGAGAGAAACATCGATCAGCTGTCTCCTGCACCGCCCCTATTGGGGATGTGCCTGCAACCAAGGTACATGCCCTTGACTGGAATCGAACTTGGGATTCTTGAGTCCACAGGCCGACGCTCTAGCCACTGAGCAAAACCGGTTAGGGCAAGATTATATTTTGCATGCCTTGATACAAAGGGTAAACTTCAATTACCTGATGGTTTTTATTATACTTCATTTAGTAGGATGCTTTAAATCAAATTTCAAAATCTACCTCAACACAGCTCTATTAAAAAGTGAGGCATTAAGAAGAAAATTTGGGAGTTCAGTATCTATAGATCTGCCCCATCCAACAGTGAAAAGACTAATCCTTTTAAGGAGAGGGTGGGATGAAATTATTTCTAAGAACTCACCACTTATATGTGTTCCAAAGTCTATCTTACAGATATCATCATACTGTAATACTGTTGTGTCACCAGCATTGGGAGTATAATGGGCAGCACAGTTATTGAGAGAACACCCAGTAGGAAATGCCAGGCCTGCATTTAATCCATTCTCTTTTATTAGCTTTCGTGAACAATCTTCCAACTTTTCGCTAAAAAATAAAAACAAAACTTGTTTACTTTGACATTTTAATATAAGGTATAACCTTATAAACCTTACAACTCATCATATTCAGAAAGTTAACTAAAACTCTTAAATTACTTTCTGGAAATAATCTGAGCACTTTCTGAATGTGAATAACAGTTCTCTGAAGCTATGAAAATAGTTCACCTCTAAAAGATAAAAAAATTAATTAAACTAGAAATCTGGAGAAATTAAATGATAGAACTTAAGTTTCCTAGTAGGTAACATTCTTGACATAGACTAATTTTAATGCTGATTACACTTTATTTACTTAATGTTGCATATTTTGAAATATGAATTAGAGAATGATTTCTCAAGAGGAAAACTGGAAAAATAATTACTTTCATTGGTTTCTTCATTGCATTTTACATTTTTGTGTCCAAGAATTTTAATTTAATATGAATTGCTAGATAGCAAAATAATAAGAGTTCAAGACAAAAAATAATAATGTGTGCATTTGCACATGAGTATACATGAATACAAAATAGGGAGGTTGAAGTACAAATGTCCTCTAATGCTTTCCTTGTTACATCAACATTACAAGAATTTAGAAGATATTTCTAGAACCTTCATTTAAAGTTTTAGCAAAGTTGTAATGAAAGCCAAAGATTACAATGAAAAGTCAGCTCTAAAAAATAATTCTTCTCATGATCTTATTAAATCATATTCCTTTTTACCAGATTTCTATCATTGTCATCCCAGGCTTGATCCAGCTCATAACATATTTTCTAACTTGTCGGTGTGCTTCCGCAGCTTCTCGAAAATCATTCCAAATCTCTTCACTAGCTTGATCTAATGCTTTCTTTTCTTCACTTGTAGTTCTCCAAGCAGCTGTTCGCCTTTATAGTACACATAGCAGAGTATTAGTAATTTAAGAAACAGCATAATAAACATAAAAGCTGAGATTAAAATATATTAATAAGACATTTTAGATAAAAACATTACATATTTAATTTCTTTCATTAAATGATAGCATAACTTCTGAATACAAGTAGTCAAACACTTGTAATCAGGCAAAATCATAATAAATACTTTCCAAGAATCTTAAAAAAAAAAAAAAATCAAGTGAGATTGCATTCATAATCAGAAGGACTAAAACCATGCCACAGAAAATAACACAAAAACAAGAAAACCAGAAAAGTCAGAAGAGTCCTAGATACCAAGCAAAAAGTCATCATTCCACTTGAGGTAATATATATAATAAGAGGCTTCAAAAGAGCACACCAAAATTTAGCATTTAACGTCACCAATAGAGCAAATTCTAATTCAAAGACTTGACCTGGAAATATGCATATATCTTCTTCAAAGCATAAAATATTACGGCTTTTACAGGTGTTTTCTAATTGTGTGTTTGTGTGTATATACGTATATATGTATATGGTAAGTCTTCCTTGAAGGATATGGCTCACATTCTAAAAGTGCTAGGCGTTAACAGCTTTTTCCCAGTATCTGGGGAATCAGGAGATCCACTGATTGCCTTTAAGCAGTACATTTAAAAAATATATATATTTTATTGATTTTTTTTTTTTTTTTACAGAGAGGAAGAGAGAGGGAGAGTTAGAAACATCAATGAGAGAGAATCATCGATCAGCTGCCTCTTGCACACCCCCACTGAGGATGTGCCTGCAACCAAGGTACATACCCTTGACCAGAATCAAACCCGGTACCTTTCAGTCTGCAAGCCAATGCTCTATCCACTGAGCCAAAACGGTTTCGGCTAAGCAGTACATTTTAAAAACTGTTTTCAAATGAAAATCTTTTTAAAAGTTATCCTTTCACACATTTAAATATATATATATATATATATATATATATATATATATATTTTTTTTTTTTTTTTTTTTTTATTGATTTTGTACAGAGAAGAAGGGAGAGCGAGAGTTAGAAACATCAATGAGAGAGAACATCGATTAGCTGCTCCTGCACATCCCCCCCACTGGGGATGTGCCCACAACCAAGGTACATGCCCTTGACCGGAATCGAACCTGGGACCCTTCAGTCCACAGGCCAACACTCTATCCACTGAGCCAAACCAGTCAGGCTCACACATTCTTAAGAAATAACTGAATATATAAGCCCTAGCTAGATAGCTCAGTTGGTTAGAGCATTGGTCCCTATCTGCTAAGGTTGTGAGTTCAATTTCTGGTTAGGCCACATACAAGAAACAAACAATGAATGCATAAATAGGTAGAACAACAAATTGATGTTTCTCCCTCCTCTCACTCTCTAAAATAAAATTAAAAATACTGTATAGTTCACAACTCAGTGATCACTGATGTATATAAATTATACTTAGTATGAAAGTGATGCCTTAATAATTCAAAGAATTATTCCTATAGTCTCAAGTTAGTGGCTGGCAAACTATGGCCTGCAGGTAAATCCAGTCTGGCCCCAGTTTTGTAAATAATATTTAACATGTTAAGCACCCAGTCAGTCACCGGTGACTGACACTATACCTTCCATCCGGAAGACAAAATAGGCTGGGCACTTAATGTGTTAACTGCTGCCCTGGCTGGTGTGGTTCAGCTAGTTGGGTGTCAGACGCCCACACTGAAGGGTTGTGGGCTTGATTCCCAGTGTGCAAGAGGCAGTCAATCAATGTTTCACTCTCACATTGATGTTTCTCTCTGCCCCTCTAAAATCAATAAACATGATCTAGAGGATTAAAAAAAAAAGAAAAAGAAAAAAAGAGAATTAAAAATTTACTGCAATACAGTGAATAAATAACTGATAAAGGATCATCAATAAATATTAAAACAGCTAAATGAAAGGTTGTTGAAAACAAGGATATCCCAATGGTTCCAAAGTTCCCCAGAGATTAAATGTTAACTGCAAAAAGAAAAAACAAATAGGGCTAATAGTCTTCATATTACCCAAGTGATCAAATACAGATAAATTAATGAACAATCTGAAATTACATCTGATAAAATAGACTATGGTATAATATTAAGTACTTTAATAATGTCAGTTATAATATATCCCTTTCAAATATATTTAGTATAATTCTAATGTAAGCCCTTCCAACTAATTCTGGTTTACAGAAAATATAAAAACAGAAAAAAAAGTTTAATGACACCACAAGGAAACAATGGAAGAAATCCCATAACGTAATATTTTTAAAATTACCTGATCTCTTTATCATATGTAATGTATGAACCTTGATTGGATCCTGGTTTAGGAGGAAAACTAACTAAAAAGATGTTCCAGGGACAACAGGAAAAAAATTCCAAATATGAATATTAGGTATTTATTTATATAATAGTAGGAAGTTACTGTTAATATTCTTGGTTGTAATAATTTAGAGAATGTCTAATTCTAGGGAGATACTTGAAGTTTCTAGAAGCACTCAAAATAAGACTTTTTTGTAAATGGCCCAGCCAAAACAAAAAGATCAACAACAACAAAAAACTACATAGATACACACACATAGGGCAAAATGTTTATAAGCACTTTTCAATCTGAGAAGTTAGTTCACTTTCACCCTTTCTTATGGAATTCATTATAAAAGTTGAAATCAACATAAAGATATTTATTCTATCATGGTTTATAATAGTAAGCAACTAGAAATAAACTGTAAGTCCAATAAGGGAAAACAGGACAAATAAATTTTGGTATGCACAAAGATGTGCAAAATTATTCAGCCATTAGAAACACTGTTGGTTTCTTTACTAACTTGAAAACAAATTCTGAAAGGGGTGCTATTGTGATATAATTCTACCTTGAAAAAGAGTTCTAGATATTTATAATAGATATTTATAGAGAGCCTCTAAAGGGAGAAATATTAACAGATTGTGATTTTAATTCACTGGCAGAATTAAGGATTTTTCTTCTTTTTGCTATTCTGTATTTACTAACTCTTCTATAGTGGGTATGTATGGCTTGTAAAATTACAATTTCCCCCATAACAGTGTCTACTATATTTAGAAATAGGTAAAGAATTTCAAAATAATTCATTTTATTTTTAGATATCCAGAATAAGAGAAAAATCAGTTTCAATTAACATACTACAATGTTCATCACAGACATTTTCCTAATAAAATATTGAAATCAGTATAAATATTCAAAAATAGGGAAATAACTAAAATTAAGCCAGATATAGAATAGAATAGCATTACAGCCATTAAAAATTGGTTTAAAAAACTTTTAATAACACAGAAATGAACACAGAATATTTTATCTTTTAAAAGGGCAATAACCAGCGTAATAAAAATGGATTCATCCCTATAGCTGGTTTGGCTCAGTGGATTGAGCAACAGCCTGCAGACTCAAGGGTCCCAGGTTCAATTCTGGTCAAGGGCACATGCCCAGGTTGTAGGCTTGATACCTAGTAGGGGGTACGCAAGAGGCAGCCGATCAATGATTCTATCACATCACTGATATTTTTCTCTCTCTCTCTCCCTTCTTCTCTGAAATCAATAAGAATGGATTGAGACAAAAATCATCAATGGATACTACATGGGAGGACAACATAAGGAGTGAAGTATTTTCATACTCACAAATTAGTTTCCTACAAATTAGTAATTACAAGAAGAAATAAAAGTATTGATATTCTAAAAAACTAGATAATACCTTATCCAAGTGATATCTACTCTCAAATCGTTCAGAAAAAATAGTATGCATACAAATTCACCAATAAAACATTTTACCCATCTGCCGAAACTGGTTTGGCTCAGAAGTAGAGCGTCGGTCTGCGGGCTGAAGGGTCCCGGGTTCGATTTCGGTCAAGGGCATGTACCTCGGTTGCGGGCACATCCCAGGAAGGAGCTGTGCAGGAGGCAGCACAGATGTTTCTCTCTCATCGACGTTTCTAGCTCTCTATCTCTCTCTCCCTTCCTCTCTGTAAAATATCAATAAAATATATTAAAAAAAACAAAAACAAAAACATTTTACCCATCTGCCTTTTATCTTCCAAGCAGAAAATGGAATGTTATCTTATATTAAACATAGTATGTATAATTGTCATGTTTCATCAACAGAACAATAAAAGTGGCAATATTTTAATAAGAGTCTGAGTGAAAAGTATGCAGGAGTTCTATTTTAAAAAAATATATATTGATTTTTTACGGAGAGTAGAAGGGAGAGATCGATCAATGAGAGAGAAACATTGATCAGCTGCCTCCTGCACACCCCCTACTGAGGATGTGCCCGCAACGAAGGTACATGTCCTTGACGAGAATCAAACCTGGGACCCTTCAGTCCTCAGGCTGATGCTCTATCCACTGAACCAAACTGGTTTCGGCTGCAAGAGTTCTTTGTACTATTCTTACAGTATGGGATTATTCCTGTTAAGTTTTAAATTATTTTAAAATAAAGCAATGTACTCAACAAGGGTGGTAGTTACACAGTTGAGTTGTGATAATGTATTCAATATACAATTAGTTTATTTAAAAACAGTGAAGAAAAGATATCAAAAGCTATTTAATATTTTAACAAATCTATAAGAATATTTTCATCTATTTGCAAATAGTCAAAACTGATTGTATGAATGTCAAAAAATATTGAGTTATTAAAAAGCAAATATAACAATACTTTAATTTCTTTTGTATTTCTCTAGGTCAGCATATAGCATTGCTTTCAATATTTAAGAAAAGTATCATCCCAAGAGATATTAATCTTCACTTAAGGATATTTTTTCCATTGATTTTTCGAGAGAGTAGAAGGGAGGGGGAGACAGAGAGAGAAACACTAATGTGAGAGAGACACAGTGAATGGTTGCTCTCACATGTGCCCCAGGAATCAAGCCTGTAACCAAAGTACATGTCCTAGACCTGAAACAAACCTAAGACCCTAAGTCCAAAGGCCAACGCTCTTAACTGGGTAGCGTCAAACTCTGGCTTTTTTTTTTTTTTTAACATTACTTCAAATATTCCACCATTCCATCAATTAACAGTGTTATAAAATATTAACCATCTGTTACAACTATAGGAAATCAATGGCTTTCCTCCACTTTACCAATAAGCATATAGAAATGGAAATAGAAATAAAAACTCCTCAGTCACATCAGTAACAATACAAGAAAACAGTTAAGAATAAATTTAATATGCTTGCCTTGGCAGCATATACACTCAAGTTGGAAAGATACATAACCCTAGCACAATGAAGACATATAAATTCGTGAAGTGTTTCATATTTTAAAAATATATAATAAATTTAACAAGAATGCGACAGAACCTACCTGGAAAAAAAAAAATCAAAATAAGTGGAAAATATTCCATAACACTAGATAAAGACAGTGTGACAAAACTGCCAATTTTCTGAAACACATAAATGTAATGCAATTCTGACGAGAATTCTAACAAGGACATTTCTCTGTAGGTGTGTGTGTTAAGATTATATGACAACAGAAAAGTATGAAAAGAAACTGTTTGGGTATGTGGCACAGAAGACAGACTGCTTTATCAAATTATCAAAATGGTAGATTTTGATAAAGTTTATGAAATAAAAATAGTATTAGCATAGGAAGAGACAAATAGATCAAAGGAAGAGAATAAATAATACAGAAACTGGTTCCATTATATATGAGAATATATAGTTGAGCCTAGAATAACATGAAGGGTTTGGTGGGCCCGACCACCAAGCAGTAAAAAATCCATGTATAGTTTAATTCAGTCTTCTGCATTTGCAGATTCTAAACCACAGATCAAAAACAAGTAATTCCAGCCTGGCTGAGTAGCTCAGTTGGTTAGAGCGTAGTCCTGATAAACCAAGGTTGTGGGTTCAATCTCCAGTCAGGACACGTACAAAAATCAACCAATGGCCCTAGCCAGTTTTGCTCAGCGGTTAGTGTCAGCCCGCAGACTGAAGAGTCACAGGTTCAATTCCGGTAAAGGGTACATGCTTGGGTTGCAGGCTCGATCCTTCATAGGAACTGTGCAGGAGGCAGCCAATCAATGATTTTCTCTCATCGCTGATCTCTTTCTCCCTCTCCTTTCCTCTCTGAAATCAATAAAGATGTATTTAAAAACAAAAACAAAAAAAAAAAACCCCCAAAAACCAACCAATGGATGCATAAAGTGGAACAACAAATTGATATTTCTCTCTAAAAATCAATAAAAACCACCAGGGACAGCTCCTGTTTGAAGTGTCCGACCCCTGGTGGTCATTGCACATCAGAGCAACTGGTAATTCCATTTTACTATTCAGTCACTGGGCATTTGTATATATAGATATATGATAAGATGGTTGTTCAATTGAATAGAATAAACAATTCTAACATACTATCTATCCATTTAGAAATAAAATAAGCATTCCAAACTTTACATTAAAAAATTCAGATCAATAAAAAATGTAATGAAACACAAAAATAGTGAGTTTGAGAAAATCTAAGGCTGCTAGGAATCCAGAAGTATAAGATACAAGCATATACTGTATATGCGTATTTAAAACTTCTAGAAGAGCAAAAGAACAAAGCCAAAAAGCAAAAGATGCTCAAAATCATTGGCAGTCTGGGAATCATAAACTAAAATATTAACATATTCTTTGATTCATCAATCTCACTCCTGGAAAATGGTCAAATAATAAAATTGACAAAGCTCTGAAACCGGTTTGGCTCAGTGGATATTAATAGAATGTCGACCTGCAGACTCAAGGGTTCGATTCCAGTCAAGGGCATGAACCTTGGTTGTGAGCATATCCCCAGTAGGGGGTGTGCAGGAGGCGGCTGATCGGTGTTTCTCTCTCATTGATGTTTCTAGCTCTCTATCCCTCTCTCTTCCTCTCTGTAAAAAAATCAATAAAAAATATATATTAAAAAAAAAAAAAACTGACAAAGCATAAGGAGGTGTACACACACACAAGTACACACACACACACACACACACACACACACACACATGTATACCTAGATATACTTAAGAGATGTTTATTATAGAACTTGAGGCCCTGTGCACGACAATTCATGCACTCCAACCTGCACCCTCTTGCAGTCCGGGACACCTAAGGGATTGTCCATCTGCTGGATTAGGCCCACTCCCCAGGGGATTGGGCCTAAACTGGCAGTCAAGACATCCCTCTGGAAGCCCTCAAGGGATGTCTGACTGATGGCTTAGGCCCACTCAGCAGTCGGACATCCTTAGCACTGCCATGGAGGCGGGAGGGGTTCCCGCCACCGCTGCTGCACTCACAACAGTCAGCCCAGCTTGTGGCTGAGCAGAGCTCCCACTATGGAAGCACACTGACCACTAGGGTCAACCTGCGTTGAGTGTCTGCCCCCTGGTGGTCAGTATGCGTCATAGCCACTGGTCGTTCCTGGTCATTCCACCGTTAGGGTCAATTTGCATATTACCCTTTTATTATATAGGATGGTTTATAATGGCAAAAAATACTGGAGACAAAGTAAATGCTCACCAATTAGAAAATGGTGGAATAAAGTGATATATTCACACCATAGAATGTTATGAAGCCATTCAAAAGTATTAGAGCTATTCTGACTTAGAGGAACTTTCAAGGATAGTAGTGAATGAGGAAAGCAAGGTGGAGGAAAAGTATGCCTGATTTCATTTTTGTAAACAAACAATGACCAAAACACTCTCCTTACATGAACAGACAGAGTTAACACAAATATGAGCATAGAAAAATATGGAAGGCTACCTGCTAGGTGCTTACATGGGTCTGAAAGGAAGAGGGAACAAGCAAAAAATAATAATAATAAATTAAAAATTTTTATTTAAAAATAAGTGTGATCACATCCTATGTACAATGAAAATTTATGTAATTACTATAAAATTATGTGCCTGTTACTTTTTTAAAATAGATGCATTAAGACAGGATATAGACCGATGAATTCAATTTAAAGAAAAAATGCCTATACCATAAAACTCCCCAACTTTACAGGCTAATTCCCTATGAGAACTGGGAACAAGGAAGGGAGTAAAAATATAACATCATGCTCTTTTCTAATTAACAAAAAACAAAATAAACAGATAGCTGGCATGGTTCTGTGGTTAGGGCATTGGCCTGTGCAAGGAAAGGTTTTGGGTTTGATTCGAGGTCAAGGGCAAGTACCTGGGTTGCAGGCTTGATCCCCGCCGAGGGGACCTATAGGAGGCAACAAATCTATGCATCTCTCACATCAGTATTTCTCTCTCTGCCCCTTCCTGCTCCCTTCCACTCTTTCTAAGAGAGAAACAAAAACAAAAAAACAATGCTACAGTAGAAGCTTTCTTAGCCAACTATTGAAACCACTCAACCAATGCTCTTGATTCCCTCCATAAAACATAGTGACTAATTCCCATTGTATTCTGGATATCAGTAGATGACAAGTTCCTATTATGAATAATAGCAGCTAATACTTAATGCTTACTATGTGTCTACTACTCTGCTAAGTGTTTTACATAGGTTATTATTCCTCACAACCTTATGAAGTGTCCTTTTGTGTTTTTTTTTACAGATGAGGAAATAAAACTATAGACATGATAAATTATTTGCCCAAGTCACAAAGCTAATAAGTGTTAGAGCTAGGATTCAAATGCAGATAGTGTAGACCCAGTTTCCATATTCTTAACCAGTCTGCATAATGCTATTGTGTGTCTGCTGACCAGTGGAAACATATCCTTTCAGAATACTTCCAAGAAATCAGGTGATCTGTTCCCAAAACTTGTTATAAGTCACCAGTAGTTACTACTATAATTATATTATTTAATTATATATATATATTACATTTTAAAATTGTTTATGAAAACTAAATTGATACTCAGAAAAACCTCAATAAAGGCAAATCATCAAAAAATACTGTCAAATTAAATAAAGAAATATAAATGGCTTCAGAAAAAAATATAAAGATATAGATAGGCATTAGCTCTCAGATTATTTAGTTCTTCATAGAAACTCAAAAGACTCAGACAATGCATTATGGATATGACTTATGCGGGGGGGGGGGGGGGAGTAGAGTATAATGCAAATTCATCCTAAAAATGATGAAAACCAAATATTTACGTTAACTTTTATCAATAAAGATTTTTTTCTTTCTGAATCCCCATTATAACATACTTTTTTTGATTAACCAAACTACTAGTCTCAATCATTTTGGATAAGAGGGCTTCTACTGTATTTTCTCTAACAAATTCACAAGCTTTTATTAAGGTAGTGGAGCAAGTTCTGAGAAAAAAATCAAATCTGCTTTATTGCTAAACTACAACTTTCAAAAGTCAAACTGGAAGTTATTTAATGATCCTTACCCATCTTGTGTGGGTGGGTACTCGCATTCTTGTCCTTTGGGAAATACACCGTTAGGATACAGGTCACATATTGGAACTGAGGGAGGGTCTGTTTGAACTTTTGCTGTGAGATACAAATAAAGCATTACCTTCTGTAGTTAGAAATAAAATTAAGCAGTTATCATTACAATTTTTCTCAGTTCCTAATGGTTGTGGTATGTCCGGATTTAAGGAACCTCCTTGCTGTTTGTCTCCTTATAGTTAAAATACCATGCTGGTCACCTCCTTTCAGATTTAATATTGCTTGGGAATGAAAATATTCAATTCTTCGACTCCATTATATATTAAATAGCATATACCTTGGCAGAAAGCACATTTTTAATGTTTTTGTCTTCATTTATTATACTGGAAATGGGATAGCATATAGAGGTTGTCTTTTACAAATACAAATAAAAGCAGCAACAAGAAAATAAGAAATCTAGCCCTAACCAGTTTGGCTCAGTGGATAGAGCATCAGCCTGAGGACTGAAGGGACCCATGTTCGATTCTGGTCAAGGGCATGTATCTTGGTTGCGGGCACATCTCCAACAGAGGGTGTGCAGGAGGCAGCTGATTGATGTTTCAAATGCTCTATCCCTCTCCCTTCTTCTCTGTAAAATCAATAAAATATATTAACTTAAAAAAGAAAAGAAAGCCAGGAACGGTTTGGCTCAGTGGATAGAGCGTCGGCTTGGGGACTGAAAGGTCCCGGGTTCGATTCCGGTCAAAGGCATGTACCTTGGTTGCGGGCATATCCTCAGTAGGGGGTGTGCAAGAGGCAGCTGATCGATGACTCTCTCATCAATGTTTCTAACTCTCTCTCTCTTCCTTCCTCTCTGTACAAAATCAATAAAGTATATTTTAAAAAAAAAATTAGTCCTAATCGGTTTGGCTCAGTGGATAGAGGTTTGGCCTGCAGACTGAAGGATCCCAGGTTCAAGTCCGGTCAAGGGCACGCTGAGGACATATCCAGTAGGGGGTGTGTAGGAGGCAGCTGATCAATGTTTCTAACTCTCTCTCCCTCTCCCTTCCTCTCTGTAAAAATTCAATAAAATATATTTTTTAAAAAGTTTTAAAAAAAGAAAATAAGAAATCTTATGGCAATAAAGTAAAAAATAAAGTTGTTATGTTAATAAAACAAGTTTAAAAACTTATTTCAAGGTTATAATAGGTATAAAGTTCACTCAGTGCCTAAAGACTTTAGGTAGCCATACACAAATTTCCAAATACTCGAAAAAAGTTAATACCTACCTATATTTTAAGGACATTACTTCCCAAACTATGTACTAAAACACTAGCTTTCAAGATGCTTTTTATGTTTTGGTGGTGTTGTTTTTTAATATATATATATTTTTTTATTTCAGAGAAGAAGGGAAAGGAAGTGAGAGAAACATCAATGACCAGAGAGAATCACTGATTGGCTGACTCCTGCATGCCCCCTACTGGGGATCAAGCCTGCAACTGGGCATGTGCCCTGACCAGGAATGGAACTGTGACCTCCTGGTTCATAGGTTGATATTCAACCACTAAGCCACACCAGTGGGGTTTCAAGATGCTTTTAAAAGGTAGCTAAGAAATTTGTTTTCTAAAATTTCCCCCAAATATATGAACTAGTGGTATAGTTCTTATCACACGAAGAACTGCTTTTAGTAACAAATGCTATATCCAAGGAACGTCAGGAGGCTGCATGGGTTATTTTATGATTTTCAATGTAAAATTTATCATCTAAGTTGAAGTATGTGGTTTCCTTTGGATTATTACTTATGTTATTGATTTTTTAAAGTTTTAACACGTATTTTGCTCTTTTGTTCTGAAAGGGGAGAAAAACAATGTGCATAAATAAAAATATGATTATTTATTGAGCCAAATCATTAACCTACAAAACCATTTTTTTGTTTGTTTGTTTCCTCCTTTAACCCAAATGCTCAATATCACGAGCGTCAGCCAACTGGTTTAAATGGGTTCTATGGGCAAATAAACTTGGAAGATATTTTTTTTTACATTTCCCCTAAAAGAAAACAGTAGAATTTTAAAAAAGTCTTAGAGGTCATCAATTTAGCTTCACACTCAAATTTAGTAATCCTGTTACTCCTGACAACAGAGGCAGTCATTATCTTCCCAGCTAAATCCATTCATTTTGGGTAAACCAAAGTATTATCTCATCACCCTCAGCTTTATCCCATCTACAAATCTGATAAAGATGCTTTTTATGATGTCCACAAATTAAAGGATTCAAAGAGATCATTAGAGAAAAAATTAAAAATCTATAACCAAAATATCAATCAGAGTTGAAGTTTAGCTGTGATTTTACCACTTATGAGCTGTGACTTGGACAAATGGCTAAATGTGCCAAGCCTGTTTCCTTACCTACCAAATGAAGAACCAGGTGAAATTTTGTATAACCTTTGAAAATTATAATGTACTATATTCAATTATCTAAAAACAATGGATAATTATAATAATCTGTACTGCAGTTATCATTAACTATTACTTATAATTCTCCCACTTTCTAGATGAGGATAATAAACTTCCGAATGTACATTTGGTTTATTCCAGAAGTGATATATGATAGTCTACAAGAATATCTAAAATATACAAACTAGAGGCATCAAAGTAAATAAGAGAGCAAAAATAAAAACATGTTAAGAACATAAAACAGAACCTGAAATGAGGCCAACACAAAACCACAGATATTGCTCTAGGCCGTTAGAATAAAAATATAAAACAAAACATAAAAAAAACTCTAGGTTATTTGCATAGTTCATGTTTCTGAGATAAAATTACTCAGGAAAAGCAAAATTATTAACATTAAGATCAGACAAAAGACTCTCTCTTGAGAGTGCTCATAAAGAAATATAATAAACATTAAGTCAACAATGTCCTCAAAGGAGGAACAATAAAGGCTGCTGGAGGTGGAAGAATTCTACCAAGAGCAAATACAAAGGCATCCCCTTAACACTCCTCCCTGCTTATCTACCTTCATTAGGGAACAATTTTAAAGTATTTAGAGAAATTGATATTATCTCAAGCAGTTGTTGGGTAATAGCATGTCTCATGGGCACACTTTTAACAATTTTGAATGGAAGAAATATGGTATCATAATCTCTAGAAGATTCCTGGAATACAAGTAACCTATATTCATTAAATACAGACTATGCTAGGAGCAGGACTGACATCTTTGAACAGAAGCATCTAACATGGATGCATGCCTGAATAAAAAGAAGACTATCCCATCTCTACCTGGACACATATCAGGAAAATGGCTGGCAGAACCATTATCTTTCTTAAACAACAATTTAAGTATTTCTCTCAACACAGATATAAAAAGGGAAGTTAAGTCCCCAATATCCTGATTCATAAAATTTTAGCCTGAAAGATTTAAAAGATATAATCAGAACTCAGTAGCCCCCAATAGTTCAAGGGGGCTGGCTCGTCTAAAATAATAACTGTTCTGATTCTCAAACCAACTTTTATTCCCCAATACTATATAGTCTTCCTCCTTAGTCTGCCTAATAGAGTTTAGGTCCCTGAAGATGTTTGATTATGCCATTTACAAAAACAAACACAAGTAGGATCATATTTTAGGTAAATCTGAAATAAGTGCAATATAAACATTATTAATAAAAATTTTACCATATGCACAAGTTTTAAATAATGGGGCTCTTCGTTAAATATTCATCAAGAATTTCACAATTTCAAAGCTGGCAGATGAACTGCAAAATTTGTTTATCCTTTTACCACATAGTGGTACTTAAGTCATCCCCAACAGACTCATTATTTGAATTATTCAAGATTTAAATCATAAAGATTTTAGGATTCATCCCTAACTTACAGTAAAATGCAACAATCTATTATTAATATTCCTTAGCTGAATATCAGCTAAAAAAAATGCCATCAAGATTGTTACACCAAAGTACTTGCAAAATATTTATATCACTAAATACTACCTCTAAGAAAGCCTAAATTTATTTCCCTGAAATATACCAGTTTCTTAAGCAACTTCAAACCCACTGCTTAATAAGACTTCTAATTTGTCAAGAAAGATTAACTTAAGACACTAACGTCCTTTCTTCTTCTTCTTCTTTTTCTTCTTCTTTCCACTTGCTCCATCTCCATCACCTTCTCCATCTAAGAAAAGATAATTTCAAATGCATATTCACTTAAACCTCTAGAAGAATGAAGCAAGCATAGACAGATGTATAGACACATACACTGTATCTGAAATAGCATGACAGAGTTGACCTAATACTCTCATGACTTCTTATATTGCTAGCTTTAAGTATCAAAATTTGACTTGTGTAATCAAAAGTTCTACTCAACTGTCTGGCTGGTGTAGCTAAGTGGTTGAGCGTCGATTCATGAACCAGGAGGTCAGTTTGATTCCCAGTCAGTGCATGTGCCCAGCTATCGGGCTTAATCCCCAATAGGGGGTGTGTAGGAAGCAGCTAATCAATGATTTTCTTTCATGATTGATGTTTTTATCTATCTATCCCTCTCCCTTTTGTTTGACTTACTTTATTAAAAGAAATGCTGATAAGTTTTAAGGAAAAATATAGTAAATGACATCTTTTTTAAAGAATTAGGAAAAATAACTAGTGTTTAATATCAATAACTGTGACTTCAGCTAAAATACTAGTTACAATTTACCTATGCTTAAACACTTGTGTTTCATGACCACATGTGATCCTAAATACAACCCTATAAGGTAACAAGGAGTATAGGAGTGTTTAAGGGACATGCCCAAGATAATCCCAACTGGTAAATGGCATAATTGGACCAAAAATATAACACAATGCAGGTATTTGGGGTCTCACATTTTATCTTTTCCTGCATAGTTGTGATTAAACAAAGAGTTCTCCTTCCGAGTCAAATGGTATGCAAAAAAAAAAAAAAAAACACAAAAAAAAGAGGACATATTATACACTTCCTAGTTTCAGAGTTCTCAAATTCTCTGATGCCTAAAAATAAAGTTAATAACTATTTCAAAAAATTGTTGGCATAAAAGTATCCAAACAGCCAAGATCTGCTTGCCAGTTTTTATAACCACCTTCTATGAAGCCCACACTCATATCCTTGAACTCTGAAAAATTATAGAGGATATTATCATGGCCAAGATTAAGTGACTTAAAACATTTTAAATAAAGAAATAAAATATAGACAAAGCGTCCGAATTTCTAAAAATGCTACTTAATAAATTCCAACAATTATTTCTCAATTACGCTAATCTACACACAAGTTATACTGCTATGACGGATAAACAGAATATTGTCTCAATGAGAAGTTGACAGTTTAATAGTATGTTTCCCCATATAGTATTCTTTTAAGTGTTTTACCTTGTGGCAGTAATTCATCTAACATCAATCAGTTAGTGAAATCCACACCCATAAAACAGTATCAAATGACTACTACTTACATTTTCTGCTTAAAAAGCTCCATTTTTATTCCTGGATTGACAGGCAGGAGCCATAATAGACATTATCTCGCCATGCTACCTACTGTATTCTTCTGTTACAATTATCACAAAAAATTACAATAAATGATTTACACTGATCCCCTTTTCATTTGAAAGTTTCTCAAGGGCTAAAAGAACCATTTATTAAGTTAAGAAAAGTGCCTAGCATGCTGTAAATATTTAGTATACTCAATAAATAAGTGTTCTTTTAGTCTATTTTATCTTATTTTTGCCCAATGGAGAAACAGGAAATAGCAGTTTAGCAAAGAGGGAAGAGGAAGATGATATAGTGCTTTGAATGAATTCAGTCAGTGGTCGCCAACCTTTAGGATTTCGTGGACCACTGGTTGGTGACCACTGGATTGAGTGATAGGAAATTGCCAATATTTAACTTACAAAAATTGCAATTCCTTTTGTTTGAGCCTCTAAAATAACAAGCACACAGTGGAAACACAAATTTTGCTTGATATACTCATTATTGGTTTGAAGATGCAAAAGCCTAACAAAAATAACATGGGAATCCTTTGGAAAATACAATTTTCATTTTCCTTGTGTGTCATATAATCAATTCATATAGTCTGCACTACAATTTTAACTGTAACCTTTCATCCAACAAATGTATGCTGGGTTCTTAAGTGACAGACAAAAGGGACAGAATATTAAACAAGATAGCCTTAGCTCTGGAACAACATTAAATGTCTAGCATACTGCTACATACACTAGACTCAACCTAAAATGCTTCAAGAAATATGCAAACCACCATTTATTGATCCCCAATGCCAGGATGGTGGTAGAGTCAGGATCTAAGTATTAAACTATATATATGCTTATAATTTCACCCATCATATGATGCTGCAATTTCCATATGTAAAAAAGGTACCTTAATCTCTATCTTGCACTACATACAAAAATTAATTCTCAATAGACTACAGACCTAAACATAACAGTGAAAGGTGTATAAAACTTAAGAGAATATAAAAGAAAATCTTCATGATAGTAATTATTTAGCTTTTTGGATAGAATGGGGAAAAAAAACCACATATGACTAATAAAGGAAAAGAAATATATAAATTGGACCTTATCAAAACTGAAATCTTTTCTGTTGCAAACAATACCAGCATGGGAAAAAATATCTGTAAAACATATATATCTGATAAAAAACTTATATCAAGAATATATATATATATATATATATAAAAAACCTATTATAATTCAGTAAGACAAGAATCCAATTGAAAAATGGACAAAAGAGGAAAACACTTCACTAAAAACACATGAAATGCAAATAAAAATATGAAAAGATGTTCATCATCATCAGTTATGGAAATGCAAATTAAAACCACAATGACATACCACCACACAACTATTACAAAAACTAAAATTTTTAAACTAACAATACCAAGTGCTTATGATGATACAAAGAACCTGGCACTCTCCAACACTGCAAAATGGTAGACATTTGGGAAGAGTTTCTTATGAGATTAAAAATACACTTAACATATGACCCACTACTAAGTATTTAACCAGGAGCAATGCAAACATGTCTACACAAAGACCTTTATGCAAATGATAATAGTAACTTTATTTGAAATAGACAAAAACTGGAAATATTCATCAACCAGTAAATGGATAAATAAATTTGAAATACTACACGGCAAAAAAAGTAGTGAACTACTGAAATATGTACAACTGATGACTCTCACCAAGTATTACTGTGAGCCCTGACCAATGCGGCTCAGTTGGCTGAGCGTTGTCTTGTGCACCAAAAGGTTGCCAGTTCCATTTCAGTCAAGGCACATGCCTGGTTTCAGGCTTGATCCCTGGTGGGGTGTGCACAGGAAGCAGCTGATCATCAATATTTCTCTCTCATACTCATTTACTAGCATAACCACCAACTTAATACCATATGCATGAGCTATTGTTGAGTGGCCTCCAAAATGATCTTCCTGCCTTTCCTATATATATTCTCTTTTTTAACAATTGTGAATATATATGAAGACTATATATGAAAATTGTTTTTCATAACATTCTTCTTTTAAAGTGCTCAAAAGCTCCCTCAATGGATCTTATATGACTGGTATGCATTGTTCATTACACTCCAAAGACTTTCGCAATTATTATTTCCCCCTTTCCCCCCAATGGTTCCTTCTGTTTGGTTTTATTCAAGTCCCATTTCCTTTCAACGAGACTTTTTCAGCATTCAGCCAATTCCATCTCCAATACCAATAAATTTTACTGTAGCTTTTTTTCACCTCTAAGTTTTCTCTCCACCACACCATCAACTTTCCTTAAAAAAGATTCTGAAATACTAGCTTTCCATCCCCTCAAAGACTTCTGACACCAGATTAGTACTACTGGTTGATCCTAATTATTGAAATGAATTAGAAAAACAATTAGATAAAATTGGAGAAAACTAAAATCTTTAATACATTGAAGATTTCCAATCTGACAAGCAAAAAGTTCCCTTTCAATTTCAAGTCACACAACTTTGTAGAGGTGCAATGGAACAAGGCACACTCAAGAGCAGTATTGTGATATTCTACACATAGGTCTATAATAACTTATTGTATTACTTTGAATTTATAAAACCCTTTTTTAAGAGCTCAAAAATATGTTCATAATCTGAAGCATAACCAAAGGTAAAATGTACAAGAGATTTGCTTAAAGAAGTTCAAAAAACAACTATTCCCTGTAATGTTGGTGCTTTTTAAACCAAATTTTGACTGTAAGCCTTTTGAAGGCAGAACATACCTTTCTAGAGGAAAAAACAAGTGCTCTACATAACCCTAACACAATAATTAAAATATAGCAGGTATTTGTTGTTATGGACCTTGAGCAAAGGCTCAAGCTGGCAGTGCTTGAAGTAGAGCAGTAGGTCAAACCAGTAAATAACTGAGAATGGGAAAGCCCTATCTACCCCCTTTGCAAAAAGATGCTATATAATAGTTCTCTTAATTAATGACTCCCTCCACTGTCTTACTGATAGCATCAATTCCTATAATTCTAACACTTGCCATGTTTACACAAATCTAACAAAACCAAAATATCACAAAGAACTAGGATCAGAGATAAAAGCACTCCAATATTCTCCTTTGATAATTAAAAAAAAGTAGCTTTGGTACAGAGAGTAAAAGGAATAGACATAGAATCAAGTGCTAGGTTTCAAATTCTGGTTCTATTCTACACAAACTACCGTGTTTCCCCGAAAATAAGACATCCTCCGAAAATAAGACCTAGCGCACGAAAAGATAAGACATCCCCTGAAAATATGACCTAGCACAACTTTGGGAGAAAAAATTAATATAAGACACTGTCTTATTTTCGGGGAAACAGGGTAGCTGTATCACATTGGGAAAATCATATAACTATCATTTCCTGAGAAGAGCAATTACTTCCTTTGCAAAGGCAAAATAAGAATGCATGTGAAAGTATCCTACCGTGTTTCCTCCAAAAATAAGACATCCTCCGAAAATAAGACCTACTTACAGGTTTCTTTCTGAGTGAAATATAAGGCATCCCCCCGAAAACAAGACCCCCCCTAGGCTAAACATGAGAGATTTGGTCCACTGATTCTGAAAGAAATGGAGTCACAAGAAATTCACCAAGAAATTCAGGAATTGGATTGTTATGATGATGTTCCAGAAGATGATGACATGATTGTCATTAAATAAATGAGTAAATTCTTGATACTGTAGGATTCACAGTTTGTCTGGTTTGTGTTGACAACTACCGTACTACTGTACTGTATACAGGTAATAAATTTCCTTTATTTTCATTTAACAATAAATGTGTACCGTATTATTCTTCTTCATGGAAAAATAAGACATTCCCTGAAAATAAGACCTAGCGCATCTTTGGGAACAAAAATTAATATAAGACACTGTCTTATTTTCGGGGAAACAGGGTAGGATAGTAGATATTAGTTGTTCAATAAATATTAGTTAAATAAAAGTTAAATAAACAACCCTTCAATTTTATATTAATACTCACCCACTACTTGGCCTTTTACCAAATACATTTCAAAATATATATTTATTTTTATTGATTTCAGAAGAAAAGAGAATCATTAATTGGCTGCCTCCTAGATGCCCCTACTAGGGATCCAATATGCCCCTACTAGGGATCCAGCCCACAACCTGAGCATGTGCCCTTGGAGGGATTCGAACCCAGGACCTTTTAGTCCTTAGGCTGAGGCTCTATCCACTGAGCCAATTCAGCTACGGTCCAAGTACATTTTAAAAAGTTGACAACTGTGTTGTTTGAGCAGTCATTCAACATATCCAACTTTTTAGAGTTGCTAATAAATTCCTTTTCGTTTTTATCTGTGACATTGAGGTTTTATTATACTGTCAATTAAGAAATGTCAGAAAGTAATAGATTATATGGACAAATAAGTAGATGTTGTTTTAAAAAAAAATGTTATGCCCTGGCTTGTGTGACTCAACTGATTAGAGCATAGTCTCATACACCGAAAAGTGGCAGATTCCATTCCCAGTCAGGGCACAGGTTGGAAGTTAGATCAATCCCTGATTGTGGACATGTGGGAAGCAACCAATCAATGTTTCACTTTTACATCACATTAATGTTTCTTTCTCTGTGTGTCTCTCTCAAATCAATAAAAGCATGTCCTTGGGTGAGGATTAAGAAAAAGATTAAAGAAAGTCGTATTTTCTTGCTTTTATAACAAAAAAAATACCAAATTAATCATTTACCTTCATCATCATCATCTCTTTCTTTCTCTTCCAATGCTTGTCTTTCCAATTGTCTTGCTACCTCATCCACTGAGGATTCTGGTTCTTTATCAGGTTCCTGTTGCCCTGTCAAGGAAATATAATAGCATAAATCAAATCTAATAAAGATACTTTCCTACTAGAATATGTCCTACAGATATTGGAACACCTTTCCTGATAGGTGTTTAGGAAACAAAAACAAACATTACTGTGAACATTAACAGAATTTATTTAATGACAAAGAAAAGTCTCCCAGATCTAAGCAGTATTGTCCATTCAACAAAATACATTCTCTGTGAGAGCAGCTAAAGGTTAAGCAAAAGTGTGAGTTGGTCCCTATATTTAAGGAGTTTAACTTTTTAAAGTATTTAACAATTAGACTACAATAAATACTTTCATAATCAAATAGGTACTTAAGATAGGCAATAAATGCTGAAGACCTTAGTGAAGAGGATTTCTGGGGGACATTGGGGGCTTCAGGGATTCTTGAAGAAAAAAGTTGTCAAACTGGGCTAGGCAAAATCAAAATAAATAAGAAGACATTCCATTACGAAAACACAAAATTCTTGAACAGCTAAGCATAAGATCAGGCCCCTGCTCTGGCAGTTATTATAATCTAGCTAGAGGAGAAATACGCGTGTGTATAAAGATAGTAATATGAAGTAGTACATAATTAAGTGACATTCTGACTTTTGTAGAGCATTCATATTGAAAGCTACAACTGCTAAAAATATATTAGGGTCAGTCTGCTGAACACACCTTAAAGACCAAACTGAAGAGTATGGACTTCATCTGAAATCCAGGAAGAGCCATTAGCCTGTGTCCCGGGATTAACTTTTGATCTGGAAGTGTCTCTGCACCTACAACTCTCCCTCTTCAACTCCCATCTAATCAAAATTTCAGAAAGAGATAGATTAACCCTCTCCAACTTCTCTTAACTCCACACTCATTACTTCTGGCCTCTCCATTTTTCTCTCATTCTTTCATGGTTTTCACAGGTACAAATATTTTTTTTTCCTTCCTAAAATGAAACAGCTGTAAATAATTTTTCCTAAAATGAAGGATCCTACTGCAACAAAAACACTGACTTCTCAAAGTAAAATAACTCTTACTACATAACCCAGATGTTAAGTTTTTTTTTTTTTTTTTTTTTTTTTAAAGCTGTTTTCCGTGCCTTACCAGTGGATTTGGAGAAGTTCGACTCTGAGCCACAGAATCCCCTATATATAAATAGACTCCTGCAATGCCATTATTAATTCAAGCCTAAAACCCCTAAAACTTGATGATGCCATGGAACTTGACAAGTGAAAATTCGCACAGATACACATTCTGCAATTACAACTCAGTGACAGGAGCGCGTGGGCATATACACACACCTCCCAAAAGTGAAGCCCGCACCAAAAAGCCCTCTGTAAACTGGGATGGCGGGGTGAGGCGCGGTCTGGGCGCTAAGGCTTGTCCACTACACCCACACCCTCGGCGAAAGTTAAGTACCAGGATGCTCCAGCAAAGAGGCGGCGGGCTGTGCGGGTCAGAACCAGCTTTTTGAGGAGGCCAAACCGCGAGGAAGGCGGTAGGTAGGGCTGGGCTCGGTGCACGGCTTCCAGCCCGTTGCACAGTCTGTGCGGGAGTCGAGTTCTGGCAACTCAGGGGCTCCGGCCTACCGACCCCAGAGCTGCCCAAGGGAAGCTGAGCGACCCTCCTCTCCCTCTCCACGCTTCCACCAGCTCTCCAGTCCCACGGGACGGGAAGCCGCCTCCCCGCCGGGGGCCGAGACTCTGTTAGCCCGGCCTCGCCACACGCTCAGTGCAGTCCAGGGCTCCGAGTCCCCGGTCCCTGTCATCCACGCCGGGCCTGAGCCAGCCAAGTCGTTCGGCCATCCCTGGAAAAAAACAACATACAACTCCCCTTTACCTGTGGCAACCCCTTTACTCTTTTTCTTCTTTCGCCTCTTTTTCTTGGCTGCCTCCTCCGCCGTACAGGCAGCTCCCTCTTCCCTGTCGTCCGGATCCAGGTCGCCATTCAGGAGGTTCCCGGAGGACGCTGCCTCCTCCACGGCCGCCATGTTGCCCGCGAGAGAGCGCGAGGGAGTGAGAGCGAGCGGCGAGAGCCCGCTCCTTCACCTCCACCACCGACGCCCGCCGGAAGCCGCTCTGCACGGCGGGGCGCGGGGAATGCTGGGACGGCGGAGGACTAGGGGCGCTCGCGGTAGGCGGCGGACTCACTCACCTCAGGTAGGGCGAGGCGGTGGCGGAGGCGGAGGCGGAGGCGGAGGCGGCGGCGGAGTCTGAAACGTGGCGGAGGCGGGCCTGGCTGCGGTTGGCTGGTGCGGAGCTCTACACCTGCCTCCTCCCGCGCCTCAGGCGTTCATTCATCCCCAAAGTGGACGCGCGGGCCTGGGAACCTGTTGAACGCCTGTGCCCGTCTGTGCACAGGCGCAGTCCGCCCGAGAAGGAATCTCTATTGGAAGCGAAAAGTGTGATAGTCGCGGTTTTATAAAAGCCCACTGAGAGCCAGAAAAGGGGCTGGAAAATGGTCTCCCTTATATACACTCCTGTTCTTAGGACTCGAAAGGACTGCGTTGTTATTCACAATGACAGCTCCCGGCGAGGCCGTCCGGGCACTTGGGGAGACGAACCTGCCAGGGGAAGAGATGAGGAGGCGCTCCCTGGAGGAGCCAAGGGAAGGCCTCTGCGCGTCTCTGGGAGGGAGAGGCCCACTGCGTTGAGTGCTACTGAAAGGTTAAGTAAAAGGACAGAAATGTGTCAGGTGGAAGCCGTTGGTGGCCTTAGCAAGAGCTGTGTAGGTAGGTGGGCAGATGGAAGCCAGACTAAAGAGAGGTGAGGCACATGGGGAAAGATAATTTCCTGGTCCGTCAAGTTTCAGCCGAAAGGCCACTCTCTCCCTCAGAGAATCCTTCCTCAGCCATCTAAATAAATCAGGCTCTGCCCTCAGAGTCTCTCATGGAGTTCACGGCAGCTTGTCATTCGTTAATTTGTGCGATTGTTTGATGTCTGTCTCCCCAGTTCTCCATGAAGACAGGAATCATGCATATTGTATACTCATCACCAATACCTACCTCCAAGTCAAAGTGTCATAGAAGCTTAGTAATTACCCATTGTATACATGGGTACTTGGGAAGTGCCAAGCACTTTGCATTCATTATCTCATTTCATTCCACGTTTGAGTTGAGGAAATTAGAGAGTTTGGGTAATATGTACCAGGTTATACAACAAGTTAGTCAAAATTAGGATCCAAACCCACGTCATCAGGCACCAAAAGTTTAATGATTTTGTATGCTGCCTTCCCAATTGAAATTTCAGATCTATTCAGTAAATATTTATTGATAGTGTAGACTAGTAGTAAGTTTTGTTGGAAAAAAGCTTAGGGTTTTTAATGAAACAAATATGTAAGAAAACAGTAGAATGGTGTGGTTCAGTGTTTGAGCGTCCACCTATGAACCAGGAGTCAGGGATCAATTCCCAGTCAGGGCATATGCCCAATGTGGGGCATAGAGGAGGCAGTCGATCCATGGTTCATCATTGATGTTTCTATTACTTTCTCCCTCTCCCTTCCTCTCTGAAATCAATAAAAATATTTTAAAATAAAATAAGATGCTAATACTTTCCTTATTTATTAATTATTTTCTATTTCATATTCTATCACAAAGCTGAGGAATTTTTAAAGGGTTTAAAAGATCTTCAAATTGAGGGCAAGATGTAGCTGGTCAATCTCAGGAGGATTCAAAGCTTACCCTTGTTGAAGTGCAAAGCTACTCCTAAAAGCTATTAAAAAAAAACACCAAAAACCTGCCACATAAAAAAATGCCTTCAAATTTTGTTGTAAATCTTCTCATTTTCTCTCTAGGTTGTGGGAACACTTGCGTCATGGTTACTACCTTAGACCCACCCCAGGAAACGCAGGATCCTAAAAGAGAAAACCAATAAACTTGATAGATGAATTTTGACCCGGGTGCTTAAGGTACAAATTGATCTACAGAATTGTCAATGTGAAAGTTTGTTCAGTGAAAAAAATAAGATGCAAAACTGCCATAATACAAATTATTATTTCTTGCTGCAAAAGAATTGTACTGTACTCCTGTCCCTTCCTTTCCTGAAAAGAGGAAATAAAACAAAACTTTAAGGTAGTAGTAAAAAACAATACGTATCTTAAAAGCTTGAAAATGGATATTTGCTGAGAGATTATTTTCCAGGACACTGAAGAGTTTGTGGTAACTAAGTTAACTGTACTTAAAATAGTACATGACATTCCTATTTTCATCATTTGGTTTTCTCTGCAAAAGAAAATTGAATGAGGTAGAAGAGTAAGAAATGTTGAAAACTTAAATAAGAATCTAAGAAAACCTATAATAAATACACCTAACTCAATACCAGTAGCTGCTAGCTAATTATATGAAGTCATTTTGTCTCAGCTGCTACCTAGATAATCTGACAAAAGTTTTTCCCCCTTAAGAGAGATACTTGTCCTATTATAAAAATCAATGCATTACTATTAAACATATTTATTATTTTGTCAAAAATGTATTTTTGCTGAGAAAATTTTGATTCCAAAATTGACAACATAATTACCCCCTTATTTTTTTTGAAATCCTTGCTATTGGTATGCTTTGGACAGGTAAATCTCTCCAAATTTTAGTTTATTCATTTGTAAAATTAGGATAATGATAGTACAATATTATAGGAAATGGAAATTAAATTTAAAAATTGATGTGAGTGCCTTGGGTGGGGCCTGGATGAAGCTAGTTGACCTATTGGGAAATGTCTTTTGTGTGAAGTGTATCATTGGGCATGTGGAGGTATTATTGATATGAGAAAATGCTAAGTAACTGATTTACTATCTGAAAAGGGATTTACTATCGGGGAATGGGAGGGAAGAAGAGACTGAACATAAACTGTGCACCTATGGATGAGGACAATGGGGGATGGGGAGGGGGCAGGGGGTGGGGTGGGAACTTGGTGGAGGGGGGAAGAAATGAGGAACCTTTGTAATAATATGAACAATAAAGATTGATTAAAAAAAATTTTAAAATTGAGAGAAAACTTATGATAGTATGATGTCTGACACAATAGTGATGTGTTAGCCAATATTGTTAATAAGCCATACTCTTAAAAATTTTTCATTTGTGATGGAGGGGAAGTGTGTTTATAAAAACAAAAAAATTTTTTTTTCCATTTGTGTAGATTATATGATGGCCTAAATAATTTAAGGCACACATATAACATTTGGCAATGGGTTAACAAGAAATATGTGTTTTTTTAAAATATATTTTATTGATTTTTTACAGAGGAAGAGAGAGGGATAGAAAGTTAGAAACATCGATAAGAGAGACATGGATCAGTTGCCTCCTGCACACCCCCGACTGGGGATATGCCCGCAACCCAGGTTCATGTCCTTGACCGGAATCAAACCTGGGACCCTTCAGTCCAAAGGCCGATGCTCTACCCACTGAACCAAACCAGTTTCGAGAAGAAAAATGTTTTAAAAAATGGGAAAGCTTGATTGCTTGACATTTAAGGGAAATACAAAGGATTTTTTTTTCATATCTTTATGTTTTAAAAATTCTATACATATAACTTTTAAAATGTTCAAATTATATGATATACAGGGATGAGCAGGTTATGATTATTGCAATAGCTTTATGAACTCTCATGTACTCACAGCTGTAAACCTACTTTTGCCAATGTGTGTGTGTATTACCCAAATACAGCCACATTGAGGGTTTAGGGCTTCAACACATGAATTTGGGAGGGGACACAACTCAGAATATAACAGACATTGCCAAATATCTTCTTGGAGAAAGGGGCAGGGAATTGTTGGTTGAGAATCACTGGCATAAAGGCATGAAAAAAATGTGTTATGCTCAGGGGAATTTTTTGCTGAGACGTAAGTAAATTATGACCAAATTATAAATTGCCTTAAAGAGTGTGTTAATGTAAAGAGTGTGGCTTTTATTAAAAGGCTTTAAGGTGATATGTGACAAAGGATATTTAAATTTTAATATTTAAGAAAATGCCTAAAATAGAAGACAACGGACATATCAATAGCATGTCAATACCATGCATACTGTTTATCCATTAAAAGATAGTAAAATGATATGCATGTAGATTATGTGGAAGGATTTAAGTGTTTACATAATACAAACAGGTTTTCAAGCTAGGGGAAATTAGTCACTTTTGCTTTGTGAAAGATGACTCTAATGGCAGTCTAAATTTTAGAACAGTGGTTCCCATCCAGAAAACTGTTTCATTAAAAAAGCCAAGTATATTTAAATGACTTTTTTCTGCTTTGATAATTTGGTGCTTTCTGTTTTGTTTGGTTTGGGTGTTTTTGTGTGTGTGTGTGTGTGTGTATGTGTGTGTGTGTGTTTATTTGTTTGTTTTTGTACTTTCTGATTTTTGAAGTTGAACAGTACTTTAAAATTATTATGATGAAATGACAGTGAGAATAGATGATGTTGAGTCTTTTGTGCCCTGACAGCCCCCCCCCCCCAAAAAAAAAACTAAAGACCTCATATATCATTTCTCAGAACCTTTTTAAAAACTTTCTTCAATAGTGAAACCGAAGTCTGATGTCATTTATTCTAAAGAAAGAATTAGAAAGGCAGTCATTTATTCTAAAGAAAGAATTAGAAAAGCAGAGTCTGGTAATAGGGCAGACTTGCTAAGATGTTTTTGTTGAAAATATTGATAAGAACAGGCGAAGTCTCTTAGGGTGCTAGAGGGAGAGATTGGGCTGCAGAAATGTAGAATTAAGAATACTGGGCCGGAACCGGTTTGGCTCAGTGGATAGAGCATCAGTCTGCGGACTGAAGGGTCCCAGGTTCGATTCCGATCAAGGGCATGTACCTTGGTTTTGGGCACATCCCCAGTGCGGGGGCGGGGGTGCAGGAGGCAGCTGATCGGTGTTTCTCTCTCATCGATGTTTCTAGCTCTCTATCTCTCTCCCTTCCTCTTCATGAAAAATCAATGAAATATATTTAAAAAAAAGAAAAGAAAATTTATTTTAAAAAAATAATACTTCCTGGGCCATTTAGTGTGGAGAGGG